GCCCCACCTACCCCGGGGCACTGCAGCCAAGCCTGGGCAGATGCGATCTGACTCACATGGGATTGCACAGCTTCCCTCGGGGGGGCAAACACACCACTTTAGTGTGCTCCACATGCCCCAAAAATGACAGAAACGAAAGCTGAGTGTCTCCCTGCACAATGCAGAGACAAAGAAAGCGTCAGTTTGGTTCCTCTCCCGGCTGCCACCGAGGCGTGCACGATGCTCCGAGGTGTCACCTCCTGTCAGAGGGGATCCCATCTCTGCATCTTCTGTACCTTAGCCTTTTTCTCAACCACTAGCAGAGGGGAAAAACCAAGATCACAGCAGAAAGTGATCCAGCTCTGCTTGTTTACAAAAGCCAGGAGGCATCTGTTTATTCTTGGGAAAGGGAGGCTGTGGGGAGCGATGGCGAACACAGCGCCGGCTGCTCGCTGGGCTCCAGCAGGCCAGCCACAGGCACACACGGCCAGAGAAGGAGAGCAGCACACAGACAGACACTGGAGCTGCCTGGCCTGCTGAGGATGGCTCAGACAGACCCTGGGAGCTGCTGAGGATGGCTCAGACAGACCCTGGGAGCTGCTGAGGATGGCTCAGACAGACCCTGGGAGCACTCCCTGGCCTTCTGAGTGTGGCTCAGACAGACCCTGGAGCTCTCTGGTCCGCTCAGGGTGGCTCAGACAGGCCCTGGGAGCTCTCCCTGCCCAGCTGAGGGTGGCTCAGACAGGCCCTGGGAGCTCTCTGGTCCGCTCAGGGTGGCTCAGACAGACCCTGGGAGAGCATCTTGCCCAGCTGAGGCCTCTCCAGCCGCGCCCAGGAGCCCCCACAGCCCCGGGAGCGGAAAGCCGGGAGCTGCAATCACTGCCGGAGGGGAGGAAATAAAGATCACTGATCCCACATGGGAGTTGCCTCAGAAACCAGGAAAAGACACAGCGAGAGGAGGAAGCAGAACAATTGTCTCTGCCCTGCTCTGAGAGAAAAGGCAAAGCAGTTAGTCAGATGAATGCTTTCTGTTTTTCATTCTATCTGGACAGTGCTGGGGACTGATGCATCATGCAAACCCAAATCACCTCTCTGCAGCTCTCCTTTCTTTACAGCACTTCAGCTGGGGTTTTTGTTTGGTTTTCCATATCAACCTGTTGCAAAAAGCAGGATTTCAGTTTTTAAAACTGTTGTGCAGAAAGAAAAACAAACATTTCATTCCCTTTTTTTTTTCCTTTTCAAAGACTGCCACCCCTGTGCTGTGCACAATGCTGTTCCCAGCCTACTGGCCCCAGGAGATGGCAGCTGCACCCCAGGATGGGATGTGATCCCCACTCATCCTTCCCCTTGATGTTTATGGGCTTTACACTTTGCAAGCTGAATTCTTCTCCTTAGTCTCTGCCAGAAACCTTCCAGATGAGGGGCAGATTAATCAACAACTCTCACCACCAACATCCAGAATATTTATCAACCTAGACTTGAACAGTTACGATACCAATAAATTTTGCCAATGCTGATCCCCATCAGTCCTTTCCCAAGTTTCAAGCAGTTACTATCAATCCCTGCCAACTCTACTCCGTGCCCAGTGATTAAAAAACAATTCCTCACAGAAACTTGAGATAAAAATAAAGATGCAATAAACAACTTTGGCTTTCACCCTGAAGACATCCCAGCCATAACAAAAGAGACCCCAACCCCTTCTGCACCCCACAGCCCACTCAGGGTGAAATGGAAGCAGGGGAAGGATTTATTTACTTCTGTCACTGTCAGGCTTGACACCAAGAACAACCTTGGCACAGCCTGCTGGTCCTATCACCTGGAAAGACCCTCACACACTACATTTCCTCCCAGGAACCACATTTGGTGGGGTGCACAAACAGGGCCTGGCAGTTTAATGTAAGAGAGCTCTACTGAAGCAGATACCTTCATGTTCATGGTGGGTTTCATTTTACAGCTGGATATAAAACCTGGATTCACCCTAAGGACAGCACTACCCAAAGCCACAGTGGTAAGAGACAGAAGGCAGCATCACCTGGCCTTATCTGGTTAATTTCAAATTAGTTTCAGGTAAGCATTTCTGTGTTACATGCACATAAAGGAGAGGATGGTGCTGGTCAAAACATTTACAGCCCTGGGCACAGCAGAGGCAGAAGCTCAGAGCAGTGCAGGGTAGCTGCAGCCAGCAGCAGGTGCCCAGGACAGGGGGGACGGGGCAGCATCACAACCATGCCCTGGGTCACCTCACACGTGGGTATCACAGCACACACGGGCCGTGGGACGAGCTCCTGCCTCAGCTCTGCCCCTGCAAGGGGCCACCTGGGAAAAACGTGCTTTCTCTCCTTTACACCCCCACGTAGAAAGTGAAAATAAACCCATTGTCAGAGAACAGGCTCATCTTTCCCACAGTTCCTTTGGCACACACAAGTTTTTCTTCCTGTAAACACCCAAAGCCTTCATATGAGTTGGGGCTTTTTTTAACTTTTTTTGCTGTATATTAGTTAAACCTCTTCAGATTTAATGAGATACTAAGAGGTATTTGTGAAAGCCCAAGCCCTCTGCAGCTACATTAACAGGCCTTGCTATCGTCCATTATTAATAATCAACAGAAGGAAAGAAATTATGTTTGCCAAACATAAGATAATAATCAGAAAGTAATGGTTAAGAACAGCAGTCAAAAAAATCCTTTCAACCTCGCAAAAATTACAACTAGGAGAGTCACGTCAAAGCAGCCTGAAAGTTTTCTGAGACTCTCCAAGAAATCAAATCTAGCACCACAAAAGATTTTGCAAACATTTCTCAGAAGTAGCTCGACAGATCCAGCAAAAACAGTATCAGAAAAGAGCTCCAAATCCCCTCCTTGGAAGCCAAATTCAGAGGCACAGATCCAAAAATCAGCCTCGGAGGCTTCTCTGCAAGAGCAAGAAGTGACACGCACACACATCCAACATGCCAAGGGAGCACGACTAAAGGGTTGCTTCCCGATTTTTTTGTTTTCCCCGTTCTCCTGAGCAGAAGCGCTGACTGTAAGAGCGGGCAGTTCACGCTACAGCCCCAGAGTGTTTAGCAAGGCTCCGAGTTCTGCAGTGCCCCTGTGAGCAGCCAGCGCTGGCTCCTTTCTCTCCCCAGGGCTCCAAAGCGCTGGTTTAGCGCTCTTTGTCTCGCTCGCCATCTCCAAAACGAGCCATCCTCCGAGTAACAACATCACACCGCCGCTCCAAAGCGCAACAAGACGGCCAAAGTGCTAAAAAACCGCAACAAACAAACAAACCAAAACAAAGGAAACTGGCGCTGATCTCTGAGACGAAATCAATCCACCGCTCCGGAGGAGGAGAGGGCGGCACCGGCACCTCCCGGGCGCTCCCCGAGCCCGCTCCCCCCGGCCCGGCCACCCAAACCCCCGAGGGACGCTCGGTCCGAGCCCCCGGGACAGACCCCGCTCACCTGGGCTGGGCTGGACGGGCTGGCGGCGGCCCCGCTGCCCGGGCTGTGTCGGGCTGGCCCGCTCGCTGTGCCGGGAGGGCCGGGCCGGGCCGGGCCAGCCCCGCTCCGCCCCGCTCCGCCCCGCTCCGCACGGGGACACCTGGCCCGGCCAACAGCGCCGCAACTTGTCCGGGCTGCTGCGGGCACAGAGCGCCAGCACGACAGTAACACACAGCAGCCGAGTGGAATCGGTGCGAAGGGAAGGATGGCACGGGCACAGGGCTGAGTGGAACCAGCGGAGTTCCAGATGGATAATCCTGCCTGGTGAACCCTCCCCAATGGTGCGGTGGGGAAGAGGAACGCGGCTGTGCTGTGCGCTGTGCCGAGACAGCACACGGTGTGTGCTCTGTGCTGGCATCGTTTGGGTGTGCTTGGCATCCCCTGCACGAGCAGAGCTGTCACACAGAGCCTGCAGCAGGACAGCTGATGGCACAGCCCAGGGCGGCAGTGACAGCAGGCTCCCAGTTAATGGTCACAGACTTTACTGGGAGCACAAAAATCCCCCAGAGACCTTGGGACAAAGTGTGCTGTCTTCATCCAGCATCCAGCTTCAGCAATGCTTTCATTTGTGCATTATTTCCCTAGCTGATAATAACCCACAGTATTTTAAAAATGGTTTTACAAAGAGAGCTTAGAAAGTTAATCCATTCTAGTTCTTTTCCACTTGTAGATACCAGACAAAGCATGCCCTCATATCATTACAAAGGTAAGGCTATGGAGACAGAAGTGTACACTCTTTTAGCTGGCCAAAATCACACAAGAAACAGCACAAAACAATTTGTGATAAAACTACTGCGCACAAGCCTTAGTAGGGTGGTTTTTTTTTTGAAGAAAAGCAAACAGAAGACCCATAACAGAGTGTGTTTGGCCTGAGACAGAGCATCTAGAAAAGGCCTCATAAAATGCAGCAACCACCTTCCTATGTCAACCACATGGTTCCCTTCCAAAGTACTTTACCTCTCCATGCCATTCTGTTCCACACAAGATCTCACATCTTTCTAAGGTACAGTTACAGGACTGATGACTCCTTTTGCTTAAAATATTAATTAAAGCTACAATTAAATATTTATTCCTGGCAATCTTTTCTCCTTTGTTTTGTGTGCCAAAACTGCTTTTTCCAAGGTGGAGGAGGATGAGTGCATTGCATGAGCAAGCACTGTTCAGAGCAGTCCCCCAGCCACACAATCTGGGAATGCAGCTGTGCTTTCCTCGAAGGTTCAGCACTCCTGAGTCATCCCCCTTGCTTCCCTCTCTCCCTCTGTTTCTCAGACAGACACAGAGCTCATGGGAGTTCCATGGCAATGGATGCCCCCAGCCTCAGGCTGGTTTCCAACAACAGGGGGGGTTTGAGGGACCCTCCTGTGGGTGTGAGTGCAGTGTACCCCCAGCTAGGAAATGGGAATTTGCCTACCTCTTTTTTTCTCCAACAGCTGCTGGAGACAGGAGCGGTTCCAGCTTCCCCAGCTTGTCTCCCCGTTCTTCTCCTTTCTCCCAGCACAATTACTGACCATCAGTTAATCATTTCCAGCCCTCGTGCCTACCTTGCTCGTCCTGTCGCTGGCGTGGGGGGCCGGCAGCAGGGCAGCTCCTTCCCAGGATGCAGGCAGGGCTGGGAATGTTCCCCAGAGCCAGTGCTGCCTGGCTGGGCCAGCAAGGAGCACCTCGCAGCTGGGAGGAGGGCAGGAGGAAGGTCAGAGCTGCAGGACTCACCTGCCTCTCTCCTCCCTGCTCACTCAGACACAGCTCTGGGCTGTTGCAGGGACTGAGCACTTCCCTCAACAGTCCTGACAGGAAAAAAAAAAACCAGAAGGATTTCTTGATAGCATAGCATCATTATACGCCTTTTCATTCATTTAAAGTATTCAAAGTGCAATTACTTACACAATTTGAGTCAAGGAAATGAGTGTGTAGGGGGAAGATGTATCAGGTAATGTGATTCATTAGTAATGGTGGGTGATACATGTCCCTGTGCTGCTGCAAGGATCAGGAGGCTTCAACAACTCTTAAATAATTAGATGGGTGCTGCTTGTCAACACAGGGCAAATATTGCCCACCTCTATTGAAAAGGCATGAATTGGTCTAGGATTGCTCCACACATCACAAAGGCAATCCTGATTTCCAGTTGGGCTTCAGAACTATTTAATCTGAGAGCTATGGTTGGCACAAGCACAGGGAGTGTAGGCTGGACATGAATGAACTGTGCCTGGAAATTAGGAACAGGCTCTTAAAGATTAGAGCAATAAGACTGTAATAGAGAATAATAGGAGGAAAAGTACCCTTAACTCCTTGAATATGTGGCATATTAAGTATGCTTCAGTCCAGATTGCTCTATTGCACTTCATGCTCTCATGTCCAGTCCCAGTGCTGGCTGGAACCCACATTGTGCCAGCCCCAAGAGTGGGATCTGCCTTTCACTTAAGGCTGTTTACTACATAATGGGATACACTCATTCTATTTTACCAGATCCATTTTTTCCTATCAGGCATCTGACAAGTTATTGTGTGCTCTCACTATCTTAATCATCTGTAATTCTGAATCATGCTTCAAATGAGCTCTGATCAGTTTGCAAAGCGTAGGAACTGAGGATGTCTCTGCTACTCAGATAAATCATAGCAGCAAGACTCAGGGAAAATATACTCGCAAAGAAACAAGTCATCCTCTGTGGTTAGGGTTAAAATTCAATTCACGTTTACAAAAAGTAGAAATAACCTTGCAAATAGTTTACAGAGATTTGAAATAATAAAAACAAAGACCCAGATTGCCATATAGTCATCAATAACACTGTGTACTGAGAGTAGCACTAACACAACCTTCTCAAAAAGAATTCAACAAACATCTTTCCACCTTTCCCTCAGGGGAGGATTTAGCCCCCACACTTAGTTATCAAATCCAGAGCACTCCTAATAATAGGGTGAGGAATTAGTTCCTGAGCCCCACAGCCAAGCCTGGGACACAATGTCATGGACAAGGAGTAGGTCAGCTCCAGGTTGTAATCAGCTCCCATTTTGTCATCCTGGAAGGTGTAGCAAAACCCTACCAAACAGGTATTGCTCAACTCCTAATCTGGCCAGCTGGCTATTTCATTTGCCTAGTGAAACACTGACAGCTGGCACAAACTTGCCTTGAGCAGGGATATCTTCTTATGTTCCTTTTTCTTTTTCTTACACTAAAACAGTTCCAGGTTCTTTATCAGGAAACAAGGGGCTCCACACCAGTGCAGAACTCATCAGTGAGCAGGTTGGCAGGTGGCACAACCCACCCAGTCGCTGCAGATTATTTTTTCTCTTTGCTATCTTTTTTTCAGGTTCCCCTCCTTCTAAAGAAGAATTATGTTTATCATGAGCAGAGGAATCTTTTGATGCTTCACATCAGTCAGAAGCTACACAGCTACCAAAGATTTTAAGGTCAGTCAGGCTGTCTCTCTGTTGGTCCTGGTACAGTCACCTAACATTCAGCTCTCAAATCTGATTTTTCAGATCGTTTGTCTTCACAGTCAAAAGGATAAGTTTTTTACTTCAGGAAAAATAACACTTATGGATTGTGCTGAAGTGGAAGCACAGAAAATCTGAGCTTTTCAGCAAGGTGAGCTCCAGGGAAATTGGGATGTTTTAAGACCACATCTTGTCTTTTTGATGGTTTTACTTCTCATGCAAAAGGCTTCCTTAAAATAACCCAGACCCATTCCAGTAGAAAAACATGGCCTTAAAGAAGAACTCTTTCTGTAATTTGCTTTTTATTTTGTTAATATTGACTGCCTGACACAAATAAAATACTGTCCCCTGCTCCCTGCTCTTCAGCTGCCATCTTCTACCCTTACTGTCAGTGGTTATCCCCAGCTGCCTCAGTGGCCACTCTGCCTGCCCTGTGCAGACTGACATCCCTCAGCCTCTGCCCTTCCTGAAAGCCTCTCCTGTGCTTCCAGCCAGCCCTGGCCAGCTCAGCACTGCACCCACCCTCAGAGCTGTTTGCCAGGAACTCAGCACCACGTGCCAAGCACCTTCCTTTCCATTCTTCACTGAGACCCCAGGGTTTGCATGGGGCAGGCTGAGGGGCAGGCAGGAGCTGACAGGCAAAGGCATTGACATTGGAGAGAGATGCAGCAGCACAGCTGCAGTTTCCTTTCCAGCACAGAGTGTCACCAAGGGTTAATCCACAAGTGCAGTGCAAGGCACAAAGCAGCCACAAGCACTGAGGAGGGGTGAACCTCCTGAGTGTGCTCCCTGTGAGCAGCATTGAATCAGGCAGCTGCTTTTTGGAGTGCAAAATGTAAAAGCAGCTCCTCAACAAACACATTGCTCTGGCCTTCATACGAGTTTCCAAATGTGAACTGAAGCAAAGATCAAACTGACTCATATTTAACTAGTTCTGACAGTTGTCATGATCCAAAGATGGCAACAAGTCAGACTGCTGAGCCACTCTGACAAAATTGCACATATATATCATGTTGTGTTATCTGCAGTCATTTAAATACGTTTGTTTCACCACACACTGGATGATAATATTCATAATTCACAATGATGAACAATGATAATGATCACATAATTTGTAAGGATGAAGAGAAGAGAAGAGAAGAGAAGA